TCTCTGAGGATACTTTATTATTTATTACTAAAACAGTCTTATCTTTCTTGTAATCTATGTGACATCTTCTCTGTTCAAATGTTGTGCAGCTTTATTATTCCCTCTATTTACTTTTTATTTATCTTCATTGTGGATTGATATCTCTGGCTATCCTTTTAATAATTTTGTAAGTTATATTTTTGGGTTTTTTTTACTTTGAATTTTACGATAATTGATTTAACTTCTAAGCAGTATTGTCTTATATGTGATTCTCAGATTGATGTCTTATACTTTTCTCTATCATAAGAACTTTCCTTAGTATTTTTTAAGTGGGCTCTTGTTTTACAAATTCCTTTTATTTATCCTTATCTGGAATTGCCCTTATTTCTCCTTTATATTTGAGGGACTCTTTTGGTAGGTATTAAATGCTAGATTGACATTTTTTCTTTCTTTCAGAGTTTCATTCTATTGTCTAATTCCCTGCAGGGTTTCTGGTGAAAAATCAGAAATTAGTCTTACTGGTTCCTTTTGTAGGAGATTTTTCTTTTTTCTTGAGTTGTTCTCAGGATCCTTTCCTTGTTTTTGGTGTTAGAAAGTTTTACGATAATTTGTTCCAGTGATTGCTTTTGGTGTCTATTATGTTTGGGGTTCGTTCGGCTTCTTGAATGGCAGTTTCATACTCTTTCATGAGGTGAGGGAAGTTTTGATCCAGCAGTTCTTGGCCAATCTTATTGGTGGACTTTTTGATTCTTCCTCTTCTGGAATGCCTGCCACACACATTATTCCTCTTGATAGTGCCCCATACAATTCTCTGACTTTCTTTAGCCATTTTTTGTTCTTTCAAATGGATTGTTCGTATCATAAATTACTAATGAGAGATTTGTATTCAAGCTTACTAATTCAGCTACTGCTTTCAAAGTGTTGTCTAATTTTAACATTTTAGTGTTAATTTCCTGGACTTCTATTGGAGTGTTTGTATTGTTTATGGTTTTCATTTATGTTCTGAGATGGCTTTTGTAGCATTTTACTACATTCTTCTATTGTGTGTGTGTGCGTGTGTGTGTGTGTAGCTCTCTTGATCTATTTGTCTACTATTGTAAGTACCCAAGAATTATTCCTTGAATTCCTACCCCCACCACCCCTACCCTACCTTCCCAGTAGTTCTAATGCTTTATCTTCCTTAGGGAGGTCTTTTGGCTTCATATATTAATCCTTCATTTGTACCACTCTTTTATTCTTTGTTATCGCTGAGACATTGTGAATTTGGGGTTTATTTCATTTTTAAAATTTATATGTATTGGTTGATCAAGTGGTTCTGGAGTGGGTGGTCTTCCTTATCTACTAGGTGTTAGTGGTGCAGGGGTGGCTGGGTCATGTGCAGATAGCTGTCTTGATTGAGTGGAACAATAAAGAAATTAATTCATTTAAAAAGAAACAAGCAAAAATTGCAACAGCCTAATTAACAAAGAAACACACCAAAAAATTACGAATAAGAAAATAAAGATGTGAGCAAAAAACCTTCTCAAAAACAATATTAATAATAATAAATAAATAATCAGCTAGAGATAAAAATTTTAAAAAAGAAAGCACAGGCTACAGTCAGCAGCTATTTCGTCGTTCTCAGACACCACTATGTGTTTATCCAGGATCTCTCCTGACGTGCCCTGTCCACGTCCAGTCTGTGAATATGCAGGCCCCGTTACTCTGCTAGTTTAAAAATACCTTTAAACTACCACTTTCTGGTCCAAGGTCCCCATGTGTGTGAATGTGTGCACTGCTACTCGACAGCTGAAAACAAACAAATAAATAAGTTCTAAGCCAGTAGGTTCAGGCCCAGTGCTCAGATCCTTCACATATGTGCTCCTTTACTGCTCTGTCACTTTTTAAAGTGGCCATAAGTTGGCGGGTTGGGCCTGGATCTGGGGAGCCCAGGAACTTGGGCACGGTGCTGCGCTGGCACTTTAAAATGTCGCTTTTCTTCAGGTGCTTGGGCCCAGGGCAATGGTAGCATATGAAGCTCCACCCTCACTGGGCGGGGCCTTGTGGTTTCTACTGAGCGCTTGCCTATGGCACCCGCATGTGGACAGGGGCACTAGAGCACCTTGGAGAACTGAGAACTATTCACTCTCATCCGCAGACACCTTCTGCACTCTTGGTATCCAGCTCACCCAGCTTTTTGTGTTTCCCCTTCAGAGCTTCAGGACTGCAGAGTGTCCTCCATGTCTGTTTTATAACTTCTCAGTTGAAGAGGGATCGAAAGGCATGTCGGTCAAAGTCACCATCTTTATTGGAAGCCTAGAGTCATGTCTCTGAGATTTATCCATGTTGTTGCACGTGTCAATAGTTTTTCCCGTTTTCTTGCGATATGAGTACATTGCCTTTTGTTTATCTATCTACTAGTTGATAGATATTTGAATTGCCAGGTTTGGGGCTAATATGAATAATACTATTATACGCATTTACATAAATGTCTTCATATATAGATATATAGCTTCCTTTCTCTTATGGATATACCTAGAAGTGGAATTGCTGGAGAAGGAGCCCTGGGAGGATCATAGCCAAGCACTCAACTCCTAACCCCAAAGTTGGTGGTTTGAAGCCATAGGTTCGGTGGGAGAAAACACTTGGAGACCTGCTTCTGTAAAGATTTCTGCCTAAGAAACTCAGTGGGATCAATTCCACTCTCTTCTGCAGGGTTGTCATGAGTGGCATTTAGTTATTGAGTAAGCAGCACACAGCAACATGCTAAGTGTATGTTTAACTTCTTAAGAAACCATCAAACTACTTTCCAAAGTGATGGTACCACTTTCATTTCCACATTAATACAAGTATGAAGGTGCCAGCTACTTTATATCCTTACCCCCACTTGCTGTTGCCAGTCTGTTATTTAATCATTCCAATCAGTAGGTGGGGTCCTGGTGGCATAACAAGTTTGGGCTACTAATTATAGAGTCGCTGTTCAAACCCAGCAGCTGCTCCAAGAGAGAAAGAGGAGGCTTTCTGCTCCTGTAAGAGATTGACAGCCTCAGAAACCCAGGGGGCAGTTTTATTCTGTGATATGGGATCGCTGTGAGTCAGAATTGACTTGATGGTAGGTTTTATTTTAATGGATGTGTTATTGTATCTCATTATGGTTTACATTTATTTTCTGTAAGAGCTAATGGTGTTGAGTACTTTTTAATATGCCCATCAATTTTCTTAGATAGGATGGTTTGTCTTCTGAGTTGTAGAAAATATAACAATACAGTTTACATATATTCTGGATACAAGTCCTTCAGGTATTTTTCAAAAATGTCTTCCAGTTTTGGGTTTGAATTTTCATTGTTCCTCGTGATGCCTTTTAATGACTAGATGCTTCAAATTTTCATGATGTTTAATTTGCCCTTTTGTTCTCTTATGGATTTTACTACTAGTGTTGGATCTTAGGAAATATTTGTCTAGTCCCAGATCACAAAAGTTTTCACGAATCCTGGCACCTATGTTGAAAGATTACTCTTCTGTCATGGATTGAATATATAAAGGGAGGAGTGGTGGTTGATATCAAGGATAATGGAGTGGTATAACATTTGGATAGAAGGTCTGGTGGCACAGTGGTTATGTCTCGGGCTGCTAATGATGAAGTTAGCAATTTGAAACTGCTCCATGGGAGAAAGACGAGGCTTTCTAGCCGGGTCAAGGGCTACAGTCTTGGAAACCCCCAGGGGCAGTTCTACATGTCCTAAAGGGTCATTCTGAGTCACAATTGACTTGATGGCAGTGAGCGAGGTAGCATTTTGGAAACGTTGGACATCAGGGACATTCTGCATTCTGATTACGGATGGATGTCTGCAGCTCTTTCTTCTCCGTTTGAGTCGTGTCCCATCAGAGCATGAAAGTGGTGAAAGGTTTTCTCTATCAGTGCCCTAAGGTCAGCTCTAGTTGGAGCAGGCAGTTGTTCTCCAAAGTGTGAAGCTAGAAAACTTGGACGTTGTTAAAAGTGAAAGGGAACTTAGGAAGGGCAATATCCTAGGCAGATGACATGAACTGGTAATGGCCACGTTGAATCCAGCAATCTGTGGTTTATTATGTTGGGAATGACAAATTTAAGAGGAATGGAGCCACTTTTATTGTCAAAAAGAACACTTCAAGACTTATCTTGAATTACAAAAATGCCTGTGATCGTTTTGTACCTATATACCTACAAGAAAATCCAGTTAATACACTATTATTCAAATTTATGAACCAACCACTAAAGCTAATGATGAAGAAATTGAAGATTCTACCAACTTCTTTAGTCTCAAATTGATAAAACATACTATCAAGATGTATTGATAATTATTGGCTATTGGAATGCAAACATTGGAAATGTAGAGGAAAGGAAATATAGTCTTAGGGCACAAAATGAAGCTAGTGATAGAATTTTGCCAGACCAACGATTTCTTTATTGCAAATATATTTTTATCAACATCATAAACTATGCCTATACATATGGATTTCATCAGTGGGAATACCTGGGAAACAAGTGGACTTTATCAGTGGGGAGAAACATTGGAGAAGCTCAAGATTAGCAGCCAAGAGGCTGACTGTGGGACAAACCATCAATTGCTCATATATAAGTTCAGGGTGAAGCTCAAGAAAATAAAACAGGTCCACAAGAGCCAATATATAACCTTGAGTATATCTCATCTGAATTTAGAAACCAAACCAAGAATAGATTTAGTTATTAAACCAAGAATAGATTTAAGATTTTAAAAGTGAGATAACAAGCTGTGGATGACATCAAGAACATTATACATGAAGAAAGCAAAAGGTCAGTAAAAATACAGGCAAGAAAGAAAACGCTAAATTGGATGTCAGAAGAAATTCTGTAATTTGCTCTTGAATGGAAAGCAAATAGAAGAAATGATGAAGTCAAGGAGTTGAACAGAACATTTCAAAGGGTAGCTGAAGAAGACAAAGGAATGTATCATATAGAAACCTGCAAAAACCTGGAGTTAGAAAGTAAAATGAAAGAAAGAAGCTGAAAGAAAAAACAAGTTTCCTCATGGGTTTGGATTTGTGGCAGGTCTGATTCCATGGGCTTCTCACAGTGTACCATGCTAAAGCAAACTGTCACCCCGAACCATGGCTTGGCTTTACCCGGTAAGCTTAAGGCACTGAAATGGGTTGCACAGTGAAAAAAGAAAAGAAAAAACAAGTTTATCAAGTTGAAAGAACTGATGGAAAAATTAAAGCCTTGAATTCCAATATTGAAGGATTCTATGGTGTAATGTGTTGAGTTGGGCTGCTGACAGCAAGGCCATCAGTTCGAAACCACAAGCTCCTCCTTTGGAGAAATATGAAGCTTTCTACGCCTGTAAAGATTTGTAGTCTCAGAAACTGACAAGGAGAGTTCTACTTATTCCTATAGCATCACCATGCATCAGAATCCACTCCGTGGCAGTAAGAGTCTTATAGGAAAAATATTGAACGATGCAGGAAAGGTCAAAAGAAGGAAGGAATACACAGTGGCTGTACCAAGAGCAATTGTTTGGTGTTACACCAAACAATACCAATATCACAGGCAAGTGAAGTTTTGCTGAAGATAATTTAAAAACAGTTGCAGCAACATTTCAACAGGGAGCTGCCAGAAATTCAAGCATGGGTCAGAAGAGGATGTGGAACTAAAGATATTGCTGCTTCAGATGGACCTTGGCTGAAAGAAAATGCAAGAAAGATGTTTATTTGTATTTTATTGACTATGCAAAATCGTCCAACTTTGTGGGTCATAACAATCTATGAGTAATATTGGGAAGAATGGGAATTCTACAACCCTTGTGCACATGTGGAATTTTTCGTACACATAGAAGGAGTCAAGGGAATGCTTCAGGGTTTAAAATCTGGAAAGCTGTGCATGAGGGTTGTAACCTTTCACATACTTATTCAATCTGCATGACAAGCCAGTAATCCGAAACATGGGACGATAGAAGAAGATCATAGCATCAGGACTGAAGGAGGCCTTATTAATAACTTTTGATATGCAGATATGCTTTTCCATATGCTTTCAGCAAGGAGGAGACTTGAAGCACTCGCTGATAGAAATCAAAATTGCATCCATCATCCACTCCAATGAGTTTCTGGCAACCAGTGGCTGGGAAGGAGATGCTCCGCTTCATGGTGAAGCAGCCGATCGTCTCCGCGATGGAAAAGAGCCTGGTGGTACTTCTTACAAGATAGATTCGCTTGTTCTTTTGGTAGCCGTGGTACTTCGAATATTCTTCACCATTACCCTAATTTAATTGCATCCATTCTTCTTTGGTCTTCCTTCTTCGATGTTCAACTTTTACAAACATATGAGACCACTGAAAACACCATGGTCTGGGTCAGGAGCACCTTGGTCCTCAAATGATATCCTGGTAAGAGGATATAACTCTGATACACATGCAACATTGAACCTGTGTTTAAACCATGCAACATTCCCTTGTTCTATGCACACAATTGCTTCTTGAGCTATGTACACGTCCCCCAGGAGCACGATGAAGTATTCTTCAATGCCCGTTCTTCTTAAGGTCACCCATAGTTTCTTGTGCTTCACACAATAGAATGCTTTGGCAGAGTCAATGTAACAGAAGTAAACATCTTTCTGGGATTCTTTGCTTTCAGCCACGATCCAGCTGGCATTAACCATGATATCCTTTGTTCCATGTCCTCTTTGAATCTGGCAGTTCCCTGTCTCTGTACAGCGTCACTGTTGTTGGATGATCGTCAGCAAAATTTTACTTCCATGTGATATTCATGATGCTTTCCTATAATTTGAGGTCACCTTCCCTTGGAATGGGCACAGATATACATTTTTTTCTAGTCAGTTGCCCAAGTAACTGTCTTTCTAATTTCTAGATGAGTGAGTGCATCCAGTGCTTCATCAGCTCGTTGGAACCTTTCAGTGTGTAGTCCAATTCCGGGAGCGTTGTTTCTGGCTAATGCTTTCAGTGCAGCTAGAGCTTCTTCCTTCAGCACCATTGATTCTTGCTCATATGCTACCTCCTGAAATGGTGGTTTGTCGACTAGTCCTTTTGGGTATATTGACTCTTTGTATGCTTTCCATCTTCTTTTGATGCTTCCTGTATCATTTTAGAATCTTTCAATATTGCAATTGGAGGCTTGAATTTTTTTCTTGAGTTCTTTCAGTTTAAGATATGCTGAGCATGTTCTTCCCTTTTGGGTTTCTAATTCTGGACCTTTGCACATTTCATTATAATATTTGGTTTTGTCTGTTTGAGTTGCCCTTTGACATTTTCTGTTTAGCTTTTTTGATGTCATCATTCCTTCCATTTACCCTAACGACTCTGATTAAAAGCATGTTTCAGAGTCTCTTTGGACAAGCACTTTGATCTTTTGCTTTCTTTCCTATCTTTTTCAATGGCCTTTGCTTTCTTCATTATTCACATTCTGGTCTTCCATCTCATTGCCTGGGGCTAGTATCAGGGCCTTTTGCAGGTGACCAGGTAAGAACAGAGCACAGAGGTATCCAGTAGACATCATACATTTGGAGAAAATCAGCTGCGATTGAGTCAATTCTTATTCATGGTCATTCCATGTATGTCAAAACAAAACTGAGACTCATAGGGTTTTCAGTGGTTATGTGTTGGGCAACCACCAGCCGTTCTGCAGGAGAAAGACAGGACTTTCGGCTCCTGTGTATAGTTACAGTCTTGGAAACTCACAGTGGCAGTTCTCCCGTCCTACAAACTTGCTAGGAGTCAGCATAGACTCAATGACAATGAGTTGGGTTTTTTAAATTGTTTCAAAATAGCTTGCCAGGCCTTTCTTCTGAGGTGCCTCTAGTGGACTCAAATATTAGCTGAGCTCATTAACCATCTGCACTGGAGGGTCAATGAGTAATCCTCCATGTCCCGTCTATGGCCTTCCCGCTAGACGACCCCTCCCATTCAAGCATAGAGCCTGGGCTGACCACTGAGCATCTGTTATCACGTATTCGAGACAGCGAGTGTGACGTGGCCTTGGGGGAGCAGTTCCCAGGGAGTCCTCAGCCAGTGCAGCTGCTCCAGGGCTGCTTCACCACCCAACTCCCCTTCCCTACCTTAGTCAGTATCAAACCCGTTGCTTGCTCAGGGGGCGGGGCGGATCAAACTCCGACCCTGTTGGCTGCCTCAGGGTGACCAACGGAACGGAACCTTCGGAAGGAACTGTTTCCTAAACAATAAAGTCATGTCTCCCAGAGTGACTCCCGTGTTTTGTTTTGTTTGTTGGGGGGCGCTCATCAAACCAAAACAAACAGCAACAACAAAAACCGAACTCACTGCCATGGAGTTGATGCTGACTGGTGGCGCCAGCACCTAGTAATTGGGAGACAGTTGCTTGGCCTAGGCATCTCCCCCTAGCACCACACCGAATTCTACTACAGCTGAAGTGGAGGGTCCCGGTAGGGATGAGGCAGGTGAAGGCTGAGCCAATTTGCTGGAGTTTGTATTCCTTGTTTGTTTCTTTGTATTGAAAGCCACAGGGAGACACAGCTTTTAAAAACAGCAATCGCTTTGATCAGTTTCAAGCTACCCACAGAGATGCTGTTCAATTTGGGGCAATACAACCAAACCCAAACCAAATACTCACTGGATGGATATGGGGACAGTGTGTATAACTTTTAAGTATCAGAAGGGTGTTCTCTAAGGGGCTGAGCGGCTTGAACCACTACAGGATGCTTCCAAGCACCTTGGCTATTCGTCCTTCCCTGGTTCTCCTCCAGATTCCATTAGAGATCATCTGATTGGCCTAACCTGGGTCACATGGCTCAGCTGTTGGAGGTGGAACCACTTGATTGACAGTCCCACCAGACTTTATCGAACGTGGGAGGGGTGGGGCAAAGTAAAAGTGGGTGTCATTTGACAAATGGCAGTTGCTTATTATAACAGAAAAAGATGAAAAAAAGATCACTAGTAACTGAAAGCGGAAAAGGGTGATTTCATTCAGCAATTTCATGTCCAGTGTGCTGTGCCTAAGGTCGGGCCTATGAATCATTTCAAGTTGTGATTTTAGGGATGCGTATAGATTGTTTCCAATAGTTAAAGGGAAAAATTTTTTCCAATGACAGCAATCTGAAAACATTTCTGAACAGTTTACTATATGAAGAATTTTATTGACTAATTATTATTTTTATTTGTTTTAAAATTGGGAGTTAATACATATATCATTCCATAGTTCAGTCACATCAAGCAGTATTGTTCTATTGCTCCCACCATCAGCTTCCAAACATTCTTTTCCTTCCTGGGCTCCTTGACATCCTCTCCCTTTAATCCTCCCCTCCCACCTTACTCTATCTCCCCTCCCCACAAACCCTTATTCTACTTGCTCTTCCTATAGGTTCATCAGTCCTGAGTTTCATATACTGAAAAACAGAAAAATATATAACACAAATTCAGGAGGGTGACCCCCCCCAATGATATAACACAAGTATTTGCAGATTCATATGGTTCAAACCTAAAGTAAGTGAAAAGCGTAAACATGCAAAAGGCCATTTCCACACTGTTCTGCCACATCTAGGCCTGGAGGTAAGCACTGACTTGTTTCTGTGTTTTGAGCCAGGGTTTCTATTAATGACTTCAAGCACAGGTGAATGAGTGTATGACAGACGCGTTCTGGGTCTCTTTTCTGGAATGTGTCAGCGGTTCTGGGGAGGCTTGGGGGAACCGGACATCTGCTTCATCAGCCCACTTCCGGCTTTGAGAGGTCTTGTGTGGGGACCTTCTTGCCCTGTGCAGCCCAAGGCTTCTGGATCTGTGAACAGGGACTGGTCCAGAGAAACATGCCAGCTCATTAGCACCGAGGAGCCAAGAGTTCATCCTAGCTTTCTGACGGGGCTCCCTGTTCAAGGTCAGGAGCCAAATACAGTTTTATGGAAACCCAGTCGCACCCGTTTGTTTACCTATTGTTTAGGACTCTTTTCCTAAGATGTCAGCAGCTGCAACAGATAGCGGGATGGCCTTCAAAACCTGAAAGAGTGGCTGTGTGGCTCTTGACAGAAAATGTTAGCTGCTCCCGCTCAGGCTGTTGGAGAAGAAATGAAGCCCTTGACCCAGAAGGGCATCCCACTGGTCAGAAGAACCTTCAGGGACCTGAAATGACAGCCATTACTTCAGAGAAGGAGAAGCTAGTCCCGGAGTGTGAGGGCCATTCCATCTC